GAAGAGAAATTTAGGACTTTTTCATTTTGCTAAACTTAGCAAAAATTCTCATTCACCAGCAGCTCTCGGGGTCAGTTCTTGGGAGGGTGACCTCCCATGTGATTGGCCTCGACAAATCACTGTTAGACTTCTAGTGAGAAGGAGCTTAAATTCTGATGATGAAATACAGCTGTTCGACCTCAGGTTCCTGAGCCTTCTTGGACTGGTAATGTGATTTACTGCTTTATGCATAAATTGGTTTGAACTTTAGCCTCTCGTCCTTACCTTGCCCCTTTTCCAGATGCCATTGTGGCTTCGGCCATCACTATTTTCGTCTTCATGGTGATGGTGTTAAGTAACACTCTTTGATTTAAAAAACTGTGAATGGCACATTTTATTTATTGGTCAATGCCCTTCGGTGGTACGTACCAAATGCCAAGCGATGATTCTGATTCTGATCAACTATGTACTAGTTCGAGAAATGAAATTAGATATCACATGGAGATGAACTTTAATCCTTTTATTGTAGCTAGTATACTCCAAATTACACGAAATCACTTCCTCAGCTTTACATTTCTTGTTACAGCCACTTCCCACCATGAGATCAGCAGTTCATTCCACCATTCCAAGTGGTGTGATTCTTGGCACCCTTTCTTATACTCTCCTCTTTCACTGCAAGCTCTGCCCATATCCTTCTCACAGCTTGTTTGCAACCATATATAACAAAACATCCCATGATGTTACTGCTTGTGATACAACAGAAGAATTGAAAAGCATATGAAGTTAAAAACAAAAAATATTTTAGGTTGGCATTAAAACCGCAGTTAAACATAAGTAACAATAGAAGCATTAGCAAACAATCTGTTACAACTCAATTACATTTGCTCCCTTTACTGCTTTTTGTAGAATTGCTAGTTGCTATACTTTTCAGAATCGATGCCCAGATATATTGTAGGTTGAAATTAAAATCTTTGTTGCAACATAATCTAGGGGTGAGTGCTTCTCCGATTTTATGGCTACTTTTATGCTGGAGGTTGTTGTTGATTTTGACTTTATCCCACAGTTACTGACTTCAGATGCTCTGAGGAATATTTAACCTAAGATGCACTACCTTCATTGATGTGTTGCGTGACAGAGAAGTTACATCTTTTTTTATGCTTAGGCAATTCTTATTGATAAATTTCTAGATATCAAGCTGATACGTTAAGTTTTAGTGTTTGTCTTTTCACTGCAGACTGGGATAGTACACACACCTGTATCTGTTGCAGTGGAATCCAGTTTGTCTCTTTGTAACAGTTTCAGATAGATGAGGCAAGTTTGTAATCAAATGTTTTGAAAGCAGAACTGATGTATAGCGTGATTGGATAGTAATGTTCCAATGAATAGTTCTGTTTGATTCTTTGATAGCAACTTAACTTTTTCAGAAATAGCTGCAGAAGCTTGTCTGTCAGAAATTACTACCGATGCAAAAATCAAATAAATTCATTAGAACATTCCCATATCTATCTGAAAATCCAATGCATCATTTCTGTTTTCAAAAGATTTGTTTAAGAGCTTGCCTGGCTCCATTATCCACCTGGAAATGATTAAAAATGGATAAATTGGGCAACACTACTACAGACACTTCAGGAATGTATACCATCTTCATCTGCAATGAAGACGATTGCTGAAACCCAATATATCAGTTCAAGCTCTGGAAAATCATCTGTGGGAATTGCCAAGCTTAAAAACATATTTATTAAGCTCTCTGTCAATTAGTACATCAATAAAAATCTTTCATTACATAATCGTTAGAACATCCAAACACAATAACTGAATGAGACAAAGCTTGAATCATCAACAAATTGCAGCACAAAAACAACCTTAACATCAGAGATGCGCTAGAAATAGAAATTTTCCCTAGACCATGTTGTAAAACGAACCTTTCTTTCAACCTGCCACATATTTGCACCTCGATTAAAAGAAGTACAGCAATCCTGCAAAAAGCAATAAAAGAGAGCAAACTTGATCGAGCCATTCATTTCAACTCCAGCTTATGAAGCCGACGGGCCATCTGCAAAAGGTTCTATTTTTTGCTTATAAAAATGATCATTATAGGTAAAAAGTAGTATAATGAATCACTATTTTTATTTAATCTTTATGCCTACATATAGATTATGAAATATTTTATAATTAGTCATGTTTAATACAGGATGTCCATAATTTAAACACCAGATAACAAAATTAAACTGAAACATTTTATGAAGTAACCAGAAATAATTTATATTGATATAATCTTTAATTAAAAGAATTTCATTTGTTCTAATTTTTGGGAACAGCAACAGAGAACTTGTTTGTTTGCAAACAAAATGGTGTCATGCAGTGAAAAAGGAATGTGCATTCTCTAGTTATGGAAAACAGGCCACAGATGACTCCGACATGAACTTCATAAAGCTCCACTAATGAAACAAATAAATAAAATGGTTAATGGTTAAAACAATTTCGAGAGACCGAAAATGTTTATGCTATTTGAGATGTGTTTGTGCACAGTCCCAATAAATCCACTTGCTCTGCCAGCCTGGAATAATTCATGTTTCAGGAGAGGTTAATCAATATAACTGCAGGATTTGGGGGTGAGAAAATCCAAACCTAGAAATTGAGCAAGGTAGCCCTTAAGTTAATATTTGGTGCACATATACAGTATTTGACGGCATATAAGACGCACTGTTTTTCCCAAATTAGGTCTCAAAAAAGTTACCTGCGTCTTACACAGGTTAACTTTTAATACTGAATGCTATTTTTAGCCCGGATAAAGGTCTAGACACACATAACTTTTTCGACATCTGCCATAATTATTTTGCGCACGCGTGAAATATCTGTCGCCGAAAAGCACCAAAGTTCGAACAGGTTCAGCGGTCACATTACGTCTATGGAGCCTTTCCTTCTTTACATAGACTTTCTTTGACTCAGGCGACACACGTGTCGGTATCAGTGCTACTCTGTATAAATGTGTTGGTATCTGTGCTTAAAACTATTTGTTTAAAAAAATACCCTGGAAAATATGACTACAGGAAACAAGAGATTAAGCTATACAATTCAGTATAAACTAGGAGTGTTAAACTATGCCAAAGTGCATGGAAACAGAGCAGCAGCAAGGCATTTCGGTCCACCACCTACCGAAAAAATGATACGTACTTGGCGACTGCAGGGAGATCAACTGAAGACTGCTAAAAAACAAAAACATAACCTTCGATGCCCAGCTCCATCTTGGCATGAATTGAAAATGCCGTAAAAATGTGGGTGATAGATAAGAGGAAATCTGGGATAAGTGTTTCAACCAAAATGATAATCAATGAGGCCAAAGGATTTGCAGAAAAACATGGAAATCAGAACTTTTCAGGGTCTGAGGGCTGGTGCTACAGGTTCATGAAAAGGCAAGACTTATTAATGCATACAAAAACAACTATTGCACAGAAAATGCCAACAGATTATGAAGAAAAAATACTAGCATTTCATAGGTTTGTTATAAATATACGCAAGAAAACTTCTTTTAAGCTCGGGCAAATAGGAAATATGGATGAAATTCCACTCACATTTGATGTACTCTTAAGAAAACCCCCTCTTTTGGTTTTGGATCACTTTAGCATCCATAGAACTGAAACCATAAAGAATAAAGCGAGAGAATTATAAACCCAGATAGCTCTCATTCCTGATGCACTGACTAGCCAATTGCAGCCTTTAGATGTATCGGTGAATAAGCCATTTAAGGAAAAAGTGCGAGAACAATGGAACAAGTGGATAGGAGAGCTACATCACACCCTCAGGTAGAATAAAGCGGCCCTCTATTTCACAAGTTTGCGAGTGGGTAAAAAGATCTTGGGAGGACATAAAGGCTGAAGTAGTTGTTAAGTCCTTTAAGAAGTGCGGAATCAGTAATGCTCTTGACGGAACAGAAGACGACGCATTAGATTAAAGTCTAATTTCATGATAGGCAACGTTTTCCTTGAATCTGTTTTTTTTTTTTTTTTTTTTTTTTTTTTTTTTTTTTTTTGTTTTGTTTCTGCTTTATTTTGTATTATGTTTGATTGCTTGCCGTTCATGCATTTATTCATTATTGAAATTGACATATCATGTTCAAAATAGCTTGCTGTTTGTTAATTTTCCTTAATAAAAATATGTTTGATAATTGCATTCAATGATTACTTATCTGGCTTTTAGGAAACGTGAGAACTAAAAGAAACCACATTTTACATTATTGTGGTACCACTATGTCATAACAAAGTGATTGTTTTTTTCCCCCCAGAGTCATCAAACAATTCGGATATTTACTTCGATATGCTGAGATTCTTTGTTGTACTGCAATTAGATGAAATGCAGCCGAACATTTTTTTCCCAATAGAATGCAACCCTCCTGTCATTGGGCTAAACATAATGCGCAATTTCCTCGATGAAACATTCCCAGATCATTGGATTGGTAGAGGTGGACTAATTTCATGGACACCCCCATTCTTCGGACATTATACCACTCAACAACTTCTTTTTCTGGGGACACCTGAAAAACCGAGTTTATGCTGCAGAGATTCGCAACATCGAAAAGTTAAAAAACCAAATCACACGTAAACAGCTAATATGGCTCCATAAATGCTTACTCTGGAAGAAAATCAGGAACAGACTTGATATTTTCCGAGCAACTAATGATGCTCATGTTGAAGTGTATTAATATAAAATTCTTTGAAATGCTAAATAAAATTCAGTCAATCTTTTGTCCCTATATCTTATTCTGTATTATTTAAAACATATCCTTATGCAATCAATAAAGTATGGTCACTATTATTATTCATTTGCTAATTTAACATATCTCGTTTGTTAAAAGTTTGATAACTTTTAGCAGCTTGTCACAATAGTATATCAGTAGGCACGTAACAATAATTTTTATGACTACACCATCTAATTGACCCCATATTTTTAAGGCCTTGCAATCTAATACTTAACAAAATTCTAGTATAATAATACTGTAGAATATAAACATTTATCAAACAAATCTTTATTGAAGTATAGGTTAAATATTAACAACACGTTACATGCATTTAAATTACTCTTTATTAGAGAAATATATGTACTTTTTAAATATTTAAATAACTTAAATAATTAATAAATATTAATATATATACTTAATTTTTAAAAATATATAATGTACTTTTCAAGTTCACACATCACTTATATTCTTATATATGAATTACTTGTTACAAAGTATTAGTCTTCTAGATAGTAATAGGCATTTTAGATATTTTTAATATAATCAGAATTTTAACTTCATAATTGCACAATATTAAAATAATATTAATTTTTTACATTATATACATATTTAATCACAGTTAAACTTTACTATTACATTAATCAAAGTTTAACAGTTACATTTAAGGAAAATTAGTTTTTAAGACTATCATCAGATAGTAATGGTTGATTTAAAGAAGAAATAATTTAATATTTTGAGTGATTAAAAAAGTTTTAAAATAAGAATTTTTTTTTACAAAATTCTCAACTACAGTATTATTAGTATTTTAAAAAATAAAGGAAGTAACCTTTCAGTTTACTTCTAATTTCATTAATTATGTAATGTAAAATCAAATTCTATTCTTGATTATAAAATTGCTTTTGATAACCGCAAATTATGTATTTCTTCTTTTGAATAAGAAAGTATTTCGGATAGTATCACATCTGTATGCTCAGCTAAAACTGGAGGTGCAGACTTCACTTTATTGCTGCAGCTGCTGTATTTAACTGCTGGACCTGTAAGGAAAATTTTGATTCCATGCCTTAAAAACTTAAAACATTTAATTTTGGAAAAATAACTGCATAAAATAAATACAGTATGATTTTTATTTTATTAAATTTAATAAAATACAAAATAAATCAAAATTTTCAAAATGTTTAATAATTTTATTAAATTAACAAAATTATATTAAATTACAATTGAGCTTTTGCTTAAAGTCCTATTTCAGTCAAATACTGGTACCTGAAGTTAATGTAATTTTTTCCAGATTAAAAGAAACTACTATTCATGCTAAACACTTTTCATTGCAACAGACTGAAAATTTAAAATAAAAATATTTCATATTATTCAATATTTCTTTCAATACTTTATAAGAATGTTTTGTTTTGTTTAAAGTATAATCACTTTATAACAAACAAAACATCCTTGCAGAGAGAGTAATGAAAAATATTCACACGTGTATGACACTTTTAGAGCTGGATGCAAATTCAGAAACTCTTTAGAGAAATTATATTCAAAATTAAATTTCACATAAACATGCAATATATTGTTTTGTGAAACATACAAAGTATGCAGACACATGAAAATTAGAAGTTTAAGTGAAATTCTGCTAAAAATAGAACACAACAGAAATTGCTCAAAAATAAATACCTTAATTTTTTTTAATCATGTTTACAGCAAGAATATGTCATTAAGCATTACATGAAATATGCGGAAAACATGAATTACAAAGTTCAACAAAAAATTATGAAGAATAATTATGCATTCAGTACATTCTTTTTATTTTCATAAAAATAACTTATATTTATTATCTGTTATGCATAACTAAGCAGAATTTAAAAAAAATAACTTGTTTCTTTGCAAATCTATTTATTTTTTCACTTCACTTCCCTGAACTGATTATTTAAGTACACTTTAAAAAGTAACAAAAAAATTTAGGAGAAGGAAGTGAATACAGCAACAAAAAATAACACAATCATTCAAATATCAATTATGAAATGCTCAATGCAAAATCTAAGTCTTACCTGTTAATTTAATTTTGCCTGCACGAGAATGCATCATATCAATCACCATCTCATTATGTAATACCTAAAATGGCATAAAAATGTTTCAATATATATCAAAATAGCAATTTTATCCAAAATGTAGCATTTAAACAGAGACAACAAATTATTAAACTTTCAAGCACGTCTCAAACTCTAGTTTAAATAATTGTTTAACTAAACAGCAGATCTTGTATTTAATTAGGCAGAGAGGAATATATATATATATCGCATGGATGCACTGAGCTGATTAATATTTAGCAATGTTTTAACCCAAAACATTATGTACAGTGAAGTTTTTGATTAATTTCATGAGTTGATTTATTTTAACTTTACTGCTCATTGTTATGCAATAACAATAAACTATATAAAAGATATAATAAATAAAATAATTTATCCATCTTCATTTAACCTTTATTTAATATTATTTATTTATTTAATTTCGTTTAAAAGGTCTCGAAAGTTTTCAAAGACTCAAAATGCATATACAACTTTAAAGTAGGATTTATTCTCCAATTTTTAATACCCCTATTTTCATTACCATGCAATTCAAGCCATAGTGCGTTTCATGTGCTCGCTTGCTCAATTAAACTTTTTTTAGTTCACCAATTCCTATTTTTGGAAATCAGTAATATTTAGGTAACAAATTATTATAAAAGTTTTTATATTTAGAAAAATTTTATACTCATTCTGAAAAATAAAAGTCTGAATCCTATATGACAAATATGGCTGAGATATTTAATTTTAAAATTTAGGATGTACTTTATTCTGTTACATAATAAGACATATTCCTGAAGAATACATGTAAAACATTGTGTGTATGAAAAAAGCATTTGTTCCGGATTTAAAAAATAGCAAAAATAATTTTTAAATAAATTTGAAAACATTTCTTTTAAGCTAATTATTTCATTTCAATGAAATATGCAAAATTTGCATTTACCCCTCTGACCAGCAACGCCATATATATATATACACCAAAGACTGAATTAAAGTAAATATATTAATAAATCGTAATAAATTTCCTAATTATATGCACAAAAGCTGCAAAGTAATAAATTAATAATTCATTTACTAATGGATTATAGAGTATTTTTCTGCTTTTCTACGTCTCGGTGTTCCTACATCAGTACTTCTAAATTCTGCTTTATTACACACATGTATGTATAATATATATAGATATGTATATATATACACTACTTCTAATTTTTGCTTTATTACACACATGTATGTTGTATATATATATATAATTGTTATGATCAAATTTTGCTTTATTACACACATGTATGTATATATATATTATATAGATAGATAGATAGATATGTATTTAAGATCATACAACATTATATATATATATACATACATGTGCATAATAAAGCAAAATTTAGAAGTACTGATGTAGGAACACCAAGACATAGAGAAGCAGAAAAATACTGATGATGAAGCACGTAAATGGCATATTGAAGACAAAGCATTCCGATTGCGTAGTATGCTAACATGTAGGGTTCGGAATATCTAAGAAACTTGGCAGTTAAGACAGTTTTAATTCCATTTTTATTTCCAACTGACTTTTCTGGCCACAATCACTTGCCGCTCTAGTCGTGCCTACTTACAGAACATTTACATTTTTGATATTATTGCGATAGAAAGTGAAATTGCATCCTAGTAGGGTACAGAGCAAAGCTGAAGTGCATAGTTATGCAATTGGAAGCACATGAAGAGAAAGGTTTTGGTCTGAGTTAAAAGTTTCAGTTCCCAATTATTACATCATCGACCCTGCAAAATGGATTGATCTACAAATGACACAATCCAGAGAAGTTATTATGATTTTTAAAACAAAGAGGAAGAATTAAAGAGTTGACCATTAGTTTAAATTCTAATTTTGATTCACATATTTTTAATCTTACATATATATACAGCATAGAAAATTTTTCGTGAAGTCTATAAGAACGTATATATGTGCATCTTAAAATGTGAAGAAATTAAGGCAATATATTAAAAGAACATAAGTCAATATATAAAGTAACAGGAACATTTTGACATTAAAATCAAGAAATAATTCTTTCTTAAGGTAGTTTTGAGAAATTTGTGATTTCTTACCGAAAACGCGGGCTGGTCAGAGGGTTAAAATGTTTCAGCAGCTTTACAAATTTATTCAGTTACTAATTGCTGTATTCTACGCAAGTTCCTGGATTTGGAATGTTTAATGACAACATTTGAAGAATGAAAACACAACTTATTAGCCAGTATCAATCACAGCAGCTCCAAAAACATGTTTACAATTGTTGAAAAACTACAACAAACATTCTGATACAATCAGAAGCACAGCCTTTAACCAATCGGGCTATAACAGTGAAGACAGCTTCATGGCAAAGCACCAGAGTACAGCTTCTGGCTCGGTTCGGTCATTCTGAGAACTCAATGTACTCTCTAGACTCTCCACACTACAACTCATGATGCACTCGAAGATACACTAGAGTACAGCTCCCGACTCGGTTTGGTTGTTCTTGAAGCTCAACACACTTTAATAAAATTTGACGATGCACTAACTCGCAATACACTTAAAGACTCTCTTGACACTAGACTGAAGGTCAACTTGTTAGACAAGACACTGACTGACTTACTAGACTAGACTCTCACCCACTGCTACTCTGTATACCAGTAGGGTTTATATAGTTTTGGGGCTCCCTTCGAGAACATTCTGATCCCAACCAGTGAGAATTCATTCTAGAAGGTTCTCCCTCCGTTTATGGCAGGTGGCCAAATCTGGCAACCCTGCCTTCCCTTGCCATTTTTTGGCAACTCTAAGATCTTACAATCCTCAGTTACCTTAAAACCACAAGCAGTTTTCTACAATTTGAAAGAATCTAGGTACAGTCCGACTCAACTAACTCAACTAAATTCACTTAGCGGAAAATGAAATGCACCCATAAAAAACATCATGATAACACAAAAAGAAAGAGGAGAGAAAATAAAGAAAACTAACACAAAATAAGGGATGTTATAATAAAAGAAAGAGAAAGAAAAACATATAACTGCAAATACACACATATAACATCCACACACAAAAAAAAAGTTCCCTAATTTTGAATTCTTGAAATTGCTTATTTTTTTTCATAATATCTTGTGCAATTTTTACATTTCTCTTAGAGAAATAATCACATTCTCTGGTAATTTTAAAATATTCTCTAAGACCAGCTGCTAATTCACATGATTCCAGAATATGCATGTTATCATCTATTATGTTACAAATTTTACAATATGGATTGTCCTGAGCATTAAATTTTGATAAATACTATATGAAGTAGCCATGGCCCATAACAAGTTGATTAAATCTGATAGCATTCATGATTTTCATTTTCACTTTTGAAAAGCATAAGAGGTCTTTATTTTTAGCAGAAACCATCCAACATGTGTTCCAAGATTTCAATATATTTTTAAACATAATAGAAATGGCCTTTCTTCTCACACCCAAAACATTGATCTTATAATCATCCACAGCAAATCTGGCCTCCTTGGTATCTGCCTTCTCATTGCTCTGGAAACCTCTGTATGCTTTGACCCATGAAAAAAACAATATCACTGTGTTCTTTTAATTTTAGATATAATCCTTTTAATGTCAGTGATGGCTTGATTATAATTATACAGGCAGAAGAGAGCCTGAAGTAAAGAAAGATAATCAGAGTTCTGCCTCTCAATCTCAGGGCATAAAAAAATGACTTGTACTTCAGCCCAAAATACTGAATTACATATTTGCAATTTAATCCTTATATTGTTTACCTCCTCCATTGTCATTTTGTTTATATATTTATTTTGTTATTATTATTATTGTTATTACTTTTTTTGTCCATGATTATGATTATTATTTTTTATTTGTTAATTATTATTTTGTTTGTATATTATGTTTATTTTAATTTTACTCTGCTTTAATTAATTGTTCATTTATGTAAAAAGTTGTTTTTTTTTTTTTTTCTTTCTTTCTAAATTACACTAGCACTGTAATCTCACTGGCCAGTTCCTGTTTTAGCCAGCATGACCTCCTCCTTTTTTGTTTTAAGTTTACAAAGCTTTCTCTTTCCCTTTTGCCTTTCCTCTCAGCCCCTTTTAGCCCCTGTTCCCCTTCGTTTTTAGCCATGATGGCTCTTCCCTTCTTAGACCAGTTTTAGCTTTTTGCTTCTTCCCTTCTTCCCTTTTTAGCCGAAAGGCACCCTCTACTCTTTTAGCCGCTTGGTGTTTTTGTTTTGTTTTGTCCCCCCCCTTTTGCTCAGCTGACATGCTCTGCCTTATTTTAGCCTATTGGCTTTTGTCCACTTTCGTAGTTAGCACCTGTCTCCTCCTGCCTAATCTGGAATGAGATAATGGAGTGTTTGTAAGTGTGGATTCAAACCCACTTACTGGCAGCAATCCTTACAAAACACCGCAGTTGCTTTCAGTAGCAGGAGTGGTTATAAGAGTTTGTTGTTGTTGTTACCTCCATTCCATAAAACTAGACAACAAATAAGACACTTATGCTTTTTCCTAACTTGACGCCATTAGTACATTCTGTATGGTGTTCATTTCCAGAAGAGGACACTTTTATCTGCATCCATACTTGATCAGGAGTATATCCTTCATCTGCAATAATTTTAGCAAGTTCTTGTGGGAATACTTGAGCTGACGATTTCTCCGCAGATAAAATTTTAATTTTCATATTGTTGTGTTTTTCTTTTCTTCCGACACCAGTTGTTACGTTATTTTCTTCCTACACGTTCGTACAGGGTTCGTAGATTTGGAGTGAATAACGACGCCACTTAATGAAGTATCGAAACACACTTTATTTGCCAGTATTATCAGGGCAGCCCCAAAACACGTTTTACAGTCGTCGATGGACTATATAAACACGCTGATACAATTAGCGACACAGCCTTCAGGTTATCAGGCAATCACGGTGGAGACAGGTTCACTGCAAAGCACCAGAGTACAGCTCCTGACTCTGTTCGGTCGTTCTTGGAACTACACGTACTCTCGAGACTCTCCACGCTACAACTCGCGATGCACTTGACGACACAG